GCTTCTTATTGTAGTCATGATGGTATAAACTGGTCAAAATTAAAAGAACTATATGCCCGAATGGGGTAACTTTATGCTTGAAATACAAACAAAAAGAAAACAACTTTATCTCAGTTTTCCTTCCACTTATTTGACAAATATAGTGAATTTTTTCAATTGTTCTATTTCACTTATAGTCACTGTCAGATTTATATTTATAATTAAGAGGACTGGCATTCATTAGTGGATAAATGGTGGTTACTGCTCCTTATATTAAAAAAGAGGAGTTTCATGAGAAACCTATTTACTCACCTATTTTTAAACCTATCTAATGCAGCAATCCCAAAATAATACATTTTGGATCCAAAAGGCTTGCGTAAGGCTTCAAGGACATATCGCAGGGCTAGACCCAGTGCCATGTAAGTGACCAGCCCTTTCTCAATTATGCCACCAAAAAGGCAGGCTGTTATATGTAACTCTTTATCAGGGTACTGGGGGAAAAACCGGTATTCTTCAAACAAATTCCTTAGCATACAGTTAAATACTTCTCGTTCCCTTTTTATAGTGGAGTCTTTAAATCTCTGTAGCATTTCTAATACCTGGGAAAACAAGAAAAAACACACACAAAAAGGAAATTATTATTACTAATTTCTTTCCTCAACTACTATTAATAATTGACTTAAGCAAAACACCAATAACTGGAGCTTAAGACAAACATGAAGGTTACACAGATCTTTCAAAATACTTTGCACTGAATTTCTAAAAACCTTGAAAAGGGCATGTCTAGGCAGACATGGGGGTATGTGTCTTTCCCAATTGAGAAAGTGATGTAGAAGGATCCCAAGACCACCTGGACAACATGGTAAGATCATGAACTCCAAAACAAAACAAGACAGATTTTCCTAAACAGTGAATAATCAGGTCGTTCTAGAGACTCACCTCATCAACAGACATGGTAGGATGTGGTGGGTGATTATATATTCGCTGGAAATAGCTATTTGCTTCATCATCTATCTCTTTACTAAAGTGCTGATTTGCCTCTGGCCACACCTGAGACAAGTCCGCTATTGGAAACAAAACAATAATCAGTAGGCATGTAAGCCCTTTCTCAAGGGCCTCATAACATATTGCCAGAGAAACCAGTAAAGTTCTAGCTTTGTAGGGAAAAAACAAACTAAAGAGAGTACTAGGTGGTTTAGTTTCAATACTAAGGTGCTATATGTAGAAGATTTTAATACAATGCTTTACACTCCATAATATTTTCTTCATCGGTACTTAAAACATAAAAGTTCACTCAATTCAAATTCCTAACACACTTACCCTTGTTACTTTCTAATTTAAGAAAATCACATATAACAATTATCAATGCATGCGCATGAGACACTAATATAACACAAAGCATGCTACAAAACAACATTCAGACAAGTCTTTCACACTAACATTTTCTTTCAATTCTTGTGTCATAAATATTTAGGCCCAATGATAAGAAAAACATGTAATTTAATTATACCTATGGATTGATCAACTGATTTAGAGAAAGGGTCTTGCTATATAGTTCAGGCTGGCCTCGAACTCACTATGTAGTCTAGGCTCCCCTTGAACTCTCACCAATTCTCTTGCCTCAACTTCCTGAGTGCTAAGATTACACGCGTGAACCACTACACCTGCATTTATGGATTTAAAATGACTTCTCTGGCTTCTGGATGATAATTCTAAGATGAGACTATCAACATCAGCTTTATATTACATTATGATTATTTTACAGCAATATATACTAAATATATCATAAGACTAGATTTAAAATAATGAATACATATTTATTGACGCTATAAAGCTGACAAACTGAAAAGGAAATCTGAAATTTTCCTGGCTGCTCCTGGCTTATTAAAAGCCCACACCTGGAAAATATTGGGTTAAAAGATTGTTATAGTGTACATAAATTTAAAGAGCTGAAAGTTTTCTCTTTTTTCTAGTGTACATAAATTTAAAGAGCTGAAAGTTTTCTCTTTTTTCTGTACCTACTTTGTTCAGGATAATACCCAAAGATGTTTCCTCTTATTAAACATTACTTTGTTCTGGCAAACCACAGCAAAAGTGAGTGACAATTCTCATTTTTATTTTAATAATTCAAATTCATGTATTATCACTGCCATCAATATATTAAGTCAATGTTTTTGCCCAGATAACACTAGCAACAAGTCAGACACACAATAAAAATTTTTATGTGCAGTCACACTTCACAATCACAGACAACACTACCACTTACAAGGTTTCATCTTACTCTGCTGGAATGTAGGCTGGTTCAGTCCAGAGGTGCCCAGTTTCCTCTGTACAAAAGGGTCGCTATTCACTGCAGGGAGTCCAAGAGCCCCAGTTCCTATACCAGTAAGGCTGCCTGTGCCAAGACCACCTACTAGAGAGAATGAAGGCAGCCAGGAGTTCTATTATTACTCATATTCTTGACTTTATAATATCTAAGATGTGAGTTCTTATTTAAAAACTCAGAATCAGGGGCTGTGGATTTAGCACAGTGGTTTTGCCTCGCAAGAACAAGGTCCTGAGTTCTATCCCCAGTAGCAACAGCAACAACCAAAAAAAAAAAAAAAAAAA